CTGCCTGCGTGCAAGGCAGCTCCAAAACACGCGAGCAACCATTCAAAAGGCAGCTACAAAGGGGGGCTGTGAAATGGTTTCTACTTGCAGCACTGATTACGCTGCAGGAGAGCCAAGCAACTGTGTGTGTGTGTGTACGTGTGTCATTGGACATTTGGCTATTTCCCGCCACAAATGGCATCGTTGTTTCGAGGGGCAGCAGTCCCCTTTTCCGCCTCCAATTCCAAGTACCTGCTTTCAAGCAAGGGATCAAAGAACTGAGCCATTTGGAGCAGTGGTTGATCCAGTACTAACAAAGAGCGGGCTGCATTCGCAAAGCCAGGTGAAGTCCTGCCAGGACACTATTGATGGATTGGCGTGAGTATGATTTGAACCAGCTCGCGCCGAAGACAATCTTGTAAAGGAATACTACAACTGTGACTATGAGGGCTTTGAAGAACACATTCGAGTGCCTCAGAATAGTGGACCCTTTTAGTTGGTGGCCAAGGGAAACCAAAGGGAAGCCATATAACTTAACCATCTCAGGGGGGCACTATTTTGAGAAACACCCACATCAACGCGCGAAGAATCAAACCCGACGCAAGGTTCTGGCCTGGGGTTCGTTTTTGGTAAGACATGCTCAAAATTACGTATGCTCTTGGTGTTTTTGGGTGGGAAACTGCCCAATGCCATTGAAATGCAACCCTTGTTCAAACCAATGTTGCTTTTCCCTCGGCTCGCACGGGTTGCTTGCCGTCATGAGTTGACACAAATGGTGATTTCGCCACTGGAAACAGCACGACCTGGGTGTCAAACCCGTGGCCCCTTTAAAGGGCCGGCGACCCGTGGCTTTCAGCCAGGCAAGGCGGGCGATTGCTCACTCGCGCCTTCACGTGCGGGTCGCCCCAGCTGGTGGCCACGCGCTCGGGCCGGTTCTGGATCAGAGCCTCGGTAGGCGGCACTTTGCTTTGGGATTCGAACGGGTCCCTGTTCTTGTACATGGGAAACCCCTCCTTAACCACCGAACCACCCAATCCAAACCACCAAGAGGCAAGCTGTTTTTTTTTTCTTTTCGGTGTTGAAAAACATTCATTACCTTCTGCTTGCGATCGGTGCGAGAGATGCAGGGACTGAGAGATGAAATGAGCCCAAGAAAAACCCTCCATTTCCGATTTGGTTTTTGAGGGATTCCCCAAGTTCGTTCCCTCGTTCCCTCATTCCCTGAGCACCAGCAAGTTTTGTGAGGAGTACGCAAGAGGTTGCCACCAAAAGGTGATGCTAACCAGGAAACACTGGACAAATTGGCCACAAGGTGGAGCCCAGAAGCCGAGCTGATTTTTGTTGGGAAAGGTTGTCAGAAATACGGTTGATGTAATACCAAAGTGGTTGATTCCCATCCCTGTGACTGCTTTGTCATTCTAAAGGGGGATCCATTGGTATCACAGAACAGTGGCAACCTAACACCCAGTTGTCCACAACCATGGGTAGAGCCAAGACCGTGAAACAGATTTGGGCCAGGTAGAACTTGGATTCCACCCCGAGTAAAAATGGCCGCCAATGGCATTTGGGCGTTGCTTTCTTGGTGTTTTTGGCTTGGTGGTTTGGAGGTTCGTGGGGTGATTCCCTATTTTGGTGTGGCTCAAAACTAAGAATTTAGGAGATCCCAAACTGCGCTGTCTTTTAACCAAAATTGGGAGGGGGGGGGGGGGGTGGCCTGAACAAGAACTGGGAGCTCCAAGCCCCCAACCACCTTGTGCGAAGCACAAACTAAGTGAACAAGGCCCACCATTTTGTGGTGCTTGGTTTGAAAGGAAAGCTCAAAGGGAAGCTCCCGAGACTTCTGAGACGACTTCCCTCTCGGTTTGAGTTCTCGCGACAGAACCTGAAAACGCATCCAGTTGCAAACAGGTCTCCTTTTCGTCCTTGGCACTTTTGGATCCCAAGCTTCTTTTCCTCAATTTGCTTAGAACATGTTTCCAGTACTTAGTGAGAAAACCCATCGGGAGAAATAAGGCATATTCACTGCAGCAAATGGAAGTTATTGATCGCTCTGTGACATGGGGCTCGAGTCCGGAATCTCCGCTGTGCAAATACATCGACCCCTTCATTGAGATCGCTGCTTCCACCTTAGCCTAATGTCAGCTTCGGCTTGATCCCATGCATCACGCTGATCAAATCAGATCCGATCAAACAAATGAGTGCTAAATGGAAACTGAAATCAAACCAGCCATTTTCACCCCCGGATCAATCCCCAACAAACACGGGTTTGCCAAGTCCTGATGCATCTGGAGGGGGTTCCACGCAGATCCGTGGAAATTCGTTATGACACGCATATCCACTGGTGTGTTCCCTGTAGGGGGAAGCTCTAGGTCGTTGGTTTGGTTGGCTTCCTTTCGGTCTCGCAAATTGGGTTAACCTGGGTTTAACTTGTTCTTCGGGTGAATCCAGGATGGGTTTCATAACGAGGTCAACAGTCACTCAGAAGCTGAATGGATGGGGGGGGGGGTGGGGGAAGAGGCGCGGGCGCGCATTTGTGTTGGCTGGTCTCAAAGGGGGATAAACCCCTCCCCACTCAGAAACTCAGCGGATTTCCATTGGTCCACGAGGGAGAAACATTGGCGCGCCCCGAAAGGCAGCTGAACGGGTCGCGCCCATCCCTCGCCGGCCGAAGGCGCCCGGGTCTCTTCCACAGGGTCCCTGCACTTGTTTCTGCCACCGATGTTCTTGAGCTCATAGCCTGCGAAGGGATGGAGCGTGGTCGCCCTTTTGTAATACCAAAGCGGTTGATAAGTTGGTACCCATGACCATTTGTTCAAATCATTTTTACACTTTAGTTTGGGGGTTCCCTTGGTATTATATACAGAAACTGGCCCTACAAACAACATTTCACAACCATGATTGGAGGCAGTGGCAACTGTTGAGGTTTAACGCTACCTTGGCGTGACTCTCTCAGTCTCACCCCTCAAACTTTGGTGTTTTTCAAGATACCCCATTGGCTCAAGCACAAACAATTTGCACCTGCCAGCGAGGTTGCGAGTAATCGGGAGTCGGGACATGTTGGGAATGCCTGTAGCTGGACCAATGTGGCCAAGCCACTCCTACTTGTGGGCATGGTGGCTTCCCTTACTTACCAAACATGGTCCCGCAAGCGACACAAACCACATGTACCGACGCGTTTCCCCTCTCAATTGGATCCCAAAAGCCTCACAATGGCTCTGGCTGGTGGCTAGCATCCTGCTGGCGGCCAGCGGCCGAGCAGCACTGAGCAACCAAACGGAGAACCACTCCTAGTCAACACTTCTGGCGAAAGTGTCAAATTCCTCCCGAGATGGTTTCATGGAGCGTAGTTGCTCAGCATCGCTCGCAATGTTCTTCGGTTCGAGCAGCGCAAGGCAACGCTTCAGAATTGGGCTTCTGCGCGGGCTGCTGAGCAACTGGAGCTGAGCTAAACCTTTCAGTCACAATCACTACCACGCAACATGAACGACAAGCCAACACCAATGATGACATTGTCAAGCAACACAATTTTGGGGGAAGAACCATCCTGGTGTCTGCAGCGATGCTGAAAAACATTATGGCACCCTTTGGGTACAAGTGGCCTGATTCATTCACTTAATTAAGTTTTACTAAGGTGCTGCGAGGAGCTTACCTCTGATGCGAGAGAGAGAGAGAGGGAAGAACAAACAACAGGAACAAAACAAACCTTAAGGAACCCCCAAAGGCCCTTCAGCAGACCCAAGGATCGAAGGACCGAAGGACCGAAGGACCGAAGGACCGAAGGCCGGCGCCTGAATTGCAGCTGGAGCAGCTCTCCTTGCCGTGGTCATAGCAACCGGTGCCCGTGTGCCTTCGCTCGCTCGAACTGGCAAGTGGAGTTTCATGGGAATTCAAGGCGCCCTTTTTGGGGTTGACTCTACAACAAAACCCCTCCAAAAGAAAACAGTTGAAAAGAGTCACCACGAATAATACCATTGTTTGCTTGGTGCGCAGTGAGTGAGCTTGAAAGACCCCGAACTGAACCATCAAACTGGTTTCCTGCTTTCGGCACCCCCTCCTGGCTCATTCCCAAAACCCCGAAATGGATTTCCTACTAGAACCAGCAAGAAAAACCAAGGCGACCCTGCAACCTCTTCATTTGACCCTCGCCTTAAGTCTTAGGAACTCGACGTGGGTGCCTTCACTTTACAAGAACACAGCTTGGGGGTTGAACAAGCTCCTCCCCACCCACCCACCCACCCACCCACCCACCCACCCGCCCGCCCGCCCGCCCACCCACCCACCCACCCACCCACCCACCCACTCACCCACCCACCCACACAAACAACAAAACTGAGGAGCTCTTATGGTTCATCTCGGTGCTTTTGTCGCTCACTCCGGGGAAACACCGCAGGTAATGACTTATCGTGCCCACACGCCATGGTCATGGCACCATTGGCCAGGCTAGGATTTGCCAATTCCGCATGGCAAAGGAGTGTGGCGCTCTTCGATTAGAAGAAACTCCTAACATGCCATGGGCAGAGCCACGTACCACGGTATTTCAAAAAACTCTCAGAAGCCGCGTGAGCATCGCTACTCAGCCCACCGATTTGACCGTGAAAGTTGAACCCCAGGTGAGTTTTTCAGACACCCAGAAACAGCCAAGCAAGGCTTCCACTTCTGTGCAACTCACAGCACATGAAACACTTGCCTCCGGTCTTTTGGACCAAAAACGCATATGTCCACCAGTCATGGCTTATCATTTCCCTTTTCTGGCTGGATATTTCACTCCGAACGAGACAGGTTGAGTGGATGAGCGAGTTTGTGGGAGATAGGGTTTTGCGGCTCAACCAAGACCAATGGTGCGAACCAAGGAAAGCAACAAATGTCGGAATGTGGAAGACACTACTTCGGGGCGATTCCTCTGTCCGTGCGAGGGTCAAAACATTTTACAGTAGGGTTCCACGGGTACATCAAGAATAAAAAACACAGCCTCTGCAAGGACTTGGATGATCTTCTAGTTGGCCCCAGCTGGTATGCTTTAAGGGACCCTGTTCCTCAGAGTATTTGCAAATTAACCCGAAGCCGACATTGCCTCGACAAAGGGAGTGCGGAAAACATGGCTGCTGCGCAGGCGAATTGGTACAGACACCTCCCGGGCGTACGCTTAAAGTTTGCCAACAAGCAAGTCATGTGTGATTTTCAATCAGCGCCCTTCAAAATGCGTGGTTTCCTTATTGTTTCTTTTACCATCCAAACTCAAGAGAGTCTTTGTTTGAGGCGACCCTGCTGTTCCAAACCCAAAGCTGCTTTTTGCATCTCCAATCCACTTTTGGTGCATGGTGAAACCCAAACCACAGGTTGGGTGGTCGAAATGAGCGGCCCCCAAACTGAGCCCCCCGGCCCCGTTCCGTGGGAGCAGGTGCAGGTCCTGATCAGGTTCATGAGGCCGGCAGTTTGGGATTGAAACTGCGCCTAAAGAAAAAAACAACCAATTTTGTTAAGCCCCTATATTTGCGCACACATACCTAAGGTAGCCTACTTACATACATATATACATACATACACACACACACATACATACATACACACACACACATACATACATACATACATACATACATACATACATACATACATACATACATACATACATACTTAAATACATACATACATGCATGCATGCATACATACATACATGCATGCATGCATGCATACATTACGTTACATCACATTACATTACATTACATTTATTTGATTACATTACATTACACTACATTACATTACATTACATACCATTACACTACATTACATTACATTACATACGTTCATCATGCGTACATACATACATACATACAAACACACACATACTTACCTACCTACCTACATACATACATACATACATCACATTCATACATCACACTACATTACATTACATTACATTACCTTACATTACATTACATTACATTACATTACATTACATTACATTACATTACATTACATTACATGACATACGTACATTGCATACATGCCTACCTACATACATACATACATTACATACATACCTACATACATACATACATATATACATTACATACATACTTGCATTACATTACATTGCGTTGCATTACATTACATTCCATTACATTGCATTACATACATTACACACATTACACACCTTACATACATACATACACTACATTACATTACATTACATTACATTGCGTTACGCTACGTTACGTTGTATTATATCCGCCGACATTGCTCGGCGTGTCGGACACCTAAGAGAGGATAGAGGATAACCCCCCCCCTAACCCCCCCCCGCCCGACGTCTGATACGTGGGGGGGGGGCCCCCCCCCCGCCCAAGGACCGCGCGGCAATTTGATGACGTTCCACTAAACGTAGTCTTCGGGGAGCCGGTGTCGCAAAACAGGGGTCCCAGGCTCGATTCCCCCTGCCGGCTCTTTGCTGGTTTGGGGTTCCTGCCTCCTTTTGCAGGAAATCTGGAAAAACTCTGTGTTTTTGGACGTCCTAATTGTGAAAACGCTGGAAAACCCGTGTTTTTTGCTGGAAATATTGGGGAGCAGAGGGGAAATGCAAGGAAGTGCAAGTGAAATGAGGGGAGGAAATAGGAAGTCGACATGACAGGAAAGCAGCGGGACATGAAAGGGAAACAAAGGGGAACTGAAAGGGACATGCAAGGGACAGAAATGAAAACAAGGGGAGTGCAGGGGGAAGGAGAGGAAACAAAGCACAAGGAAACCAAGCACGACGGGAGATGTAGGGAAATGACTCGCAACGAAAGAACGGGACATACATGGCAAATGAAGCGGACATACCGAGAAAATGTCAGGGACATGAAGGGGGGGCTGAATGGCATGGAAGGGACAGGACCAGGACATCATGGGAAACGTGACAAGGACATGAAGGGGGAAAGCCAGTAGTGAGATGACAGTTCAGGGTCATGCAGGGGCAGTGCCCGGACATCGAGGCAACTCGGGGGGGGACGTGACGCTGCAATGCAGAGAGAGAGAGACAGAGAGAGAGAGAGAGAGAGAGAGAGAGAGAGAGGGAGAGAGCGGGAGAGAGACAGAGAGAGAGACAGAAAGAGAGAGAGAGAGACAGAGCCACAGACAGAGCCAGAATCAGAGAAACAGAGAAAGAGACAGACAGAGAGAGAGACAGCGAGAGAGAGAAAGACGGAGACTGAGAAAGAGAGACACAGAAAGACAGAGAGAGAGAGAGAGAGAGAAAGAGAAAGAGAAAGAGCGAGAAAGTGAGAGAGTAGAGAGGTTCGAATTAGGGTGCCCTTTTTCTGTAGAGGGGCGTGGACAGGAAGGAGACAGGGAGACAGAAAGAGACAGAGAAACAGAGACAGCGAGAGAGAGAGAGAGGGGAGATTGAGGAGAGAGAGGCTTGGGGGGATGGGGAGAATGGGGAGCAGAGGGAGGGAGAGAGGACGACAGAACGCACGAGGGAGACAAGGGAGAGGGAAGAAGGAGAAAAGGGAGAGGACAAGGTCGGCGGACTGAGCCGGAGGCTCTAAAGTTATTTTACCTTACACACACTACACACATTGCATACACTGCATACACAGATACATGCAGATCATGACCATCTGCGTGTGTTGCGTCTTTTGTTTCTTGGTTCTTCAAATGGAGGCCATCCATTTTAGGTTCCGCAATTTTGAAGCATCAGAACTTTGGCCAAAAATCTGATCTGTTTGCTGTCCATCTGGGGAGATATGGAGGACTCTCCAAATTCCCGACAACAAACAACAACTTTTCAATGTGGTGGCAGGAAACAAAGGTTGCACCCGCTAGTAGGGGATTAGCTTGCTCTGGCTTGGAGTCCCCAATGACCTCTCTCAAACAGCAAGGAGTTCGATTCAAACCGAACATTACCAAAATTGTGTGTTTCTCGAAATTGGAGTTTAAGGAGAAACGGTCTGGCAGGCCTCTCCTGCGCAGGCGCTGAAAGCGCGTCTGTTCGTGGACCGCCAAGCAGTCGCCCACCTCTTCCCGGGCCCGAATATTATTCATCTATCAAGCGTGCAAGCTTGGCCCAGGTATTTTGAAAGGGAAGGTGAGAGGCGGGCGTCTTCAGAAAACAGACCAGCTTCTGCGGTGTTCTTGAAGCCCCGCTGCACGACGATGGCGTCAAGGTAGACGCGCTTGCAAACATTTTCTGCCCAAACTTTCAGGACAGCTGCAGCAATTATGGGACAAAGCGGCACCATCGCAAAAATGCCTCGCGTTGGCTTCTGCCAAGCGGCGCCGAGTACCTCCTCGAGCCAAAGCAAAAGTTTGCAACCGAACGGGTGATTTCAACAGGGGCGCCTAGATGGGTCATGGCACACCACGCCTGGGGCACAGTGATGCTGTGGAAAAAATCGCACGGTCTTCCGACACAACTTGCCTTTGCTGGAGGTCTTTTCTTCGCGGCAACAGTGAGCGGTTCTTGCGACACCTCGGGCGGGCGGTAGTCCAGTCAGACGCAACCTTCGGGGCATGCTGCGGGCACGCTTGCACGGTGAAGCAAGCTGCTGCGGGCTTTCAGAGTCATGCATCAGTGAAAAGGGGCCTTGCTCCTTGTCGAGGAGCATGTCGCTCGCGGAACACAGCCGCCTTAGTTCTTAGTTCTGGTCCTGGTCGTTGTGGCTTTGAAGTGGCTTTTGAAAGCTTCGCGGTCAGACCGGGCGCCGAATGCGTTTGGAGAGGACAGGCGGCATGGCGGGCAAACCTTCGCAGTCCTAGCTGTGTTTGCGCCAAACGCTGACAAAAGAGCAGCGCAACTTGCAAACACAACGGAAACCCCAGTAACTATTGGCACACTCCATTCAGCGACATGTTTCACACTACATTAAAAATACATTGAACATCACCAAACCCCAAAAAATCATACTCCTGCAGAGCGCAGGATATTAAAGAAACATAAAACACGCGTCACGTCTGCTTTGTCGCGAAGAAAGGAAAATACTACTGAAATGCGATGTTGGCGGGGCTTGCTGTAGCGCCCGATGTAGTGCGCAAGGCCATGGGACAAAGTGGGCAAGTGAGCGGCTCGTTTGTTCGCGGTGCGGAGAGCGGCACTCTTCGGCTTGAGTTCGCACCGTCCTTCGCGAAACGCTGCTGCTCCCCCCCACCTAGGCTTCGGCCTGTCACAGCTGGCCTCTGGCAGGAGCCACCAAGGCTGGGCTCTGTCACCGCGTCACGCTGCGCAGGGTGGATGCGGATCAGATGTCACTTAAAATGTAACGGCCCGCGTGGAGAAAATCACGCGCCCACACACACACACCCAAACGGAACACCTCCTTCCGGCCAAAAAGAAACTCTGAAAAGAGTCAGCGACTTTTCTTTCCCATGAGCGGAACAGGAATTTTCGGCAAGGCTTAAACCCTAAAACTGATCGAAGCTGCTTTGGAGGAAAACCAAAGATAAACACAATCAATTTAGGTGTCCAAGATTTTGGGACACACCAATTTCTACCTCAGAGTTTGTAAAGTATGGCTCGCATTTAGCAAGCCATGACATGTGTATAAAGCAATGTCAATCTAGAGGTTCCACTGTAGGTTTCACTCCCCTGCAGATTCTCACAGAACCCCCCCCCCCCCAACAAAAAAATAAAAGAATGGCTGTGTTTTGCAATCTCGTTTGGAGAGTTGGACCGTTGGAACCGTGGTTGGGCTCATTCCGTTTAAGTTGCTTTCTTGGGGTTCCTTTTTTGGCTCAGATAATTCAATTAACATTCTAATTATTTGCGCTCTGGAGGTTGTAAGGTACCAGTACGCCAAATTACCCTCATCATGGGAAAACAATGTTCGCAATTCTCTAGCCCCTCTTACATGCGTGCCTTTTCTCTTGAGGGTACATACCCCGTTTTGGGCTTGAAAGGAAACAAGAAGGGGTTCCCCACACCAAAATACACACCCATATTACGTGGCGGACTCCCCAAGGCCACCACTCTTTCAAGCGGCGGATCGGTCCTGAGGCTGCAGGAGCTACCCGAAAGCTGATAGCCATTGGAGCAAGAGGCGCAGATCGCCTAGCCAACACCGAGTGGCAAAAACAGCAAATAAAGAAACGCGCCAAGTCAAACCAAACCCAAAACTGATCAGCTTCCCTCTGATAGGTGGTTTGGACATTAGGGGGTACCGTTGCCATTAGGGGGTACTAAAACTAAATCAATAAAACAAGACAAAGACAAACCAACATACGACACGTCACAGACACAAGAGATTGAACTACACTAAACGAAAAGAAACGAAACACAACAAGCAAGCCGGCAGACAAACAAACCTGGGCATTCCTTTGCGTGCTGTGTTCCAAGATCAACCAATCAACCAATCAATCAATCAATCAATCAATCAATCAATCAATCAATCAATCAATCAATCAATCAATCAATCAATCAATCAATCAATCAATCAATCAATCAATCAATCAATCAATCAATCAATCAATCAATCAATCAATCAATCAATCAATCAATCAATCAATCAATCAATCAATCAATCAATCAATCAATCAATCAATCAATCAATCAATCAATCAATCAATCAATCAATCAATCAATCAATCAATCAATCAATCAATCAATCAATCAATCAATCAAATCAAATCAATCAATTCAAATCAACACAAACCAAATCAAATCAAAATCAAGATCAATCAATCAATCACCAATCAATCAATCAATCAAATCAAATCAACCCAAACCAAATCAAATCAAAATCAAATCAAACCAATCAAATCAACTCAAATCAAACCAAAATCAAAATCAAATCAAATCAATCAAAGCATGCAATCAAATCAGATCAAATCAAACCAAATCAAGTCAAGTCCAACCAAACAATCAATCAAAGCAAGTCAAATCAAATGAATAAATAAATACATCAATGAATCAATGAAATCTAATCAACCAAATCAATCAATCAAACAATCAACCAAACAAATCATGCAACCAAATCAGATCAAACTCAAGTCACACCCCATCAATCAAGCAAATCAAATCAAAGCAATCAAATCAAACAAATCAATAATGAATGAAAAGAAATACGCAAATTAATTACTAAATAAAAGCTAGAGGACGCTTGGCCCGAAAGCATTTTTCCTCAGGCGCCCACCCAGCCGCGGAGACACCTTTTTACATCGCTGCGGCGAGCGTGTCTGCACGCGGCGATGCTCAATGTGTATGGTCACTCATTGTCCTACGAGAGGAAACATGGCAGTGCTCGATCCCACATATTTACATCCGTTAAAACAAGAAGAGTAAGGCTCGTAAAGCTCGAAACGAATTACAAGCAAAAGGAAAAGCAATCAATAGCAAAGCTTACACGACGGCCACAGTTTCTGCAAAGCACGCTCGCGCAACTTAGTTCCGCGCAAGATGGCTCTGCGCAGCTTGGCTCTGTGAAAGTTGTGTTCCTTGCACGAACTGCGCCCTCTGCAAGCTGCTGCACGCAAGTGCTCTGTGCAAGTTGCTCTGCGCAAGTGCTCTGAGCAAGTTGATCTGCGCAAGTGCTCTGCGCCAGTTGCTCCGTGCAAGCGCTTTGCGCATGTGCTCTGTGCAAGTTGGTCTGTGCAAGTTGCTCTGCGCAAGTGCTCTGTGCAAGTTGCTCTGCGCAAGTTGCTCTGCGCAAGTGACTCTGCGCAAGTTGCTCTGCGCAAGTGCTGCCGGAGCTGTGGGAATGTACTTTGCATACTGTTTTTGTACTTAAAAGTTACGATTTTCCAGCTGGAGCTGCAGGAGTGTGCTCCGCGTACTACGTTTGTACTTCAAAGTTGCGATTTTCCAGCCGGAGCTGCGCATACTACGTCTGTACTTAAAAGTTGCGATTTTCCAGCCGGAGCTGCCGCGGACCAGGGGGGAATCAAACCCGCGACCGCGGGATTGCGAAAGCAGGCGCGCAAACCACGAGACAACTTCCAAAGGCCATTTCGCGAGCAACAAAATCGCACGGCGCCACGACAAGAGCGCTTCGACACGCACGATCTCCGCGGAGGGTTCGCCGAGACTAAGAAGAATGCACACGGCGCCACAGCGAGAGCGCTTCGACACGCACGATCCCCGCAGAGGGGTTCATTCGGGAATGACAAAAACGAAAAAAAACTCGAGTTTTTGCACCTCGACCACGCCGATCCCCGCAGAGGGTCGCGCGGGCACCGCAAAAAAACGCAAACAAACCTTGAGTTTTTGCACCTCGACCACGCCGATCCCCGCAGAGGGCCGCGCGGCACCGCAAAAAACGCAAAAAAAAAACACAGAGCGTCGCGCGGGCGCTGCAAAAAACGCAAGAAATTTTGCACTTTGACCACGCCGATCCCCGCAGAGGGTCGCATTCCCGATCGTCGGCAACATCCCCACCCCCCGCCAAGAAAGAGATTCTTAATACCGAGCTCTGTCTCTTTCTTTCCCGTGCGTTAAGTACTTAACCTAACTTACTTAACCTAGCTTACACAGCTGCTAACGCCGAGCCTCTACACCTAGCTTAGCTTAGCTCTATGCACCTAGCTCTACGCGCTTGGCTCTAGGCGCCTGGCTCGACGCACTTCGCTCTTTGCACTTGGCTCTGTGCACTTGGCTCCTTGCACCTCGCTCTTTGCACTTCGCTCTGAGCCCTTGGCTCTATGCGCTTGGCTCTTTGCACAAGGCTCTGTGCAAGTAACTGTATGCTGGTGACTCCAGACTCCATGCTGGTGACTCTGTGCAAGTATCTCCATGCTGGTGACTCTGTGCAAGTATCTCCATGCTCGTAACTCTGTGCAAGCTACTGTGTGCCAGTAACTCTGCGCGAGTATCTCCATGCTGGTATCTCCATGCTGGTGACTCTGTGCAAGCTACTCTGCGCAAGTTGACCAAGAGCTCCTGGAGCTCTCATGTGACCATACACATTGAGCATCGCCGCGTGCAGACACGCTCGCCGCAGCGATGTAAAAAGGTGTCTCCGCGGCTGGATGAGCACCTGGGGAAAATGCTTTCGGGCCAATCTCATCGTCCTACGAGAGGAAACATCGCAGCGCTCGATCCCACATATTTACATCCGTTAAAAGAAGAAGAGTAAAGCGCGTAAAGCTCGAAACGAATTACAAGCAAAAGGAAAAGCAATCAATAGCAAAGCTTACACGACGGCCACAGTTTCTGCAAAGCACGCTCGCACAACTTAGTTCTGTGCAAGATGGCTCTGCGCAGCTTGGCTCTGTGAAAGTTGGCTCTACGCAAGCTACTTGTCGCGAGTGGCTCTGCGCAACTGGCGCTGTGCAAGTTGGCTCTGCACGAGCCTGCTCGGCGCAATGTGCTTTGCACGATCTGCGCCGCGCGATTTCTCACGAAAGTGGTCTGCGCAAGCTGCATTGTTCCAGGCTGCTGCGCGCAAGGCTCTCTGCAGCTGCTGCACAAGTGTCTGTGCAAGTTGCTCTGCGCAAGTGCTGAGCAAGTTGCTGCGTGCTCTGCGCCAGTTGCTCCGTGCAAGCGCTTTGCGCATGTGCTCTGTGCAAGTTGGTCTGTGCAAGTTGCTCTGCGCAAGTGCTTTGTGCAAGTGCTCTGTGCAAGTTGCTCTGCGCAAGTTGCTCTGCGCAAGTGACTCTGCGCAAGTTGCTCTGCGCAAGTGCTGCCGGAGCTGTGGGAATGTGCTTCGCGTACTATTTTTGTACTTAAAAGTTGCGATTTTCCAGCCGAAGCTGCGGGAGTGCGCTCCGCGTACTACATTTGTACTTAACAGTCGCGATTTTCCAGCTGGAGCTGCGGGAGTGTGCTCCGCATACTACGTCTGTACTTAAAAGTTGCGATTTTCCAGCCGGAGCTGCAGGAGCACGCTCCGCATACTACGTTTGTACTTAAAAGCTGCGATTTTCAAGCCGCAGCTGCCGCGGACCAGGGGGGAATCGAACCCGCGGGATTGCGAAAGCAGGCGCGCAAACCACGAGACAACTTGCAAAGGCCGAGGTGCAAAAACTCGAGGGTTTTTGTGTTTTTTGCGGTGCCCGCGCGACCCTGCAAAAACTCTTTTTTTTGCGCTTTTTTGCGGTGCCTGCGCGACCCTCTGAGGAGATCGGCGTGGTCGAGGTGCAACAAATCGAGGTTTTTTGCGTTTTTGACATTCCCGGATGAACCCTCTGCGGAGATCGTGCGTGTCGAAGCGCTCTCGCTGTGGCGCCGTGCCATGTTGTTGCTCGCGAAATGGCCACGCCGATCTCCGCAGAGTGTCGCGCGGGCGCCGCAAACAACGCAAAAATCCTCGAGTTTTTGCACCTCGACCACGCCGATCCCCGCAGAGGGTCGCATTCCCGATCGTTTGCAACATCCCCACCCCCCGCCAAGAAAGAGATTCTTTCTTTTTCTTTCCCGCGCGTTAAGCGCTTCACCTAACTTACTTAACCTAGCTTACACAGCTGCTAACGCCGAGCCTCTACACCTAGCTTAGCTTAGCTCTATGCACCTAGCTCTATGCACTTGGCTCTATGCACCTGGCTGGATGCACTTCGCTCTTTGCACTTGGCTCTGTGCACTTAGCTCTGTGGACTTGGCTCCTTGCACCTCGCTCTTTGCACTTCGCTCTGAGCACTTGGCTCTATGCGCTTAGCTCTTTGCACTTGTCTGCGCAAGTACCTCTATGCTGGTGACTCCACGCTGGTGACTCTGTGCAAGTATCTCCATGCTGGTGACTCTGTGCAAAGTATCTCCATGCTCGTAACTCTGCGCAAGCTACTCTGTGCTAGTAGCTCTGCGCGAGTATCTCCATGCTGGTATCTCCACGCTGGTGACTCTGTGCAAGCCACTCTGCGCAAGTTGACCAAGAGCTCCTGATATCTCCATGCTGGTGACTCTGCGCAAGCTACTCTGCGCAAGTTGACCAAGAGCTCCGCACGGAAGAACCCTTCGCAATGCTTTCGGGAATTAGATAAATAAATGAATCGAAAAAGAACTAGAGGACGATTGGCCCGAAAGCATTTTGCCCAGGTGCTCATCCAGCCGCGGAGACACCTTTTTACATCGCTGCGGCGAGCGTGCCTGCACGCGGCGATGCTCAATGTGTATGGTCACAT